GTGGTCACTTGGTTAAGGTTTACCAAGAACAAGGAGAAGATGGCAATGGAACAGTAGGGAGAGGGCTGATCAGCCACAAGGTCACGTAGGAGGTGTGTATGGCTTAGGATTTTGGGCCAACTAATGTATATATAGTCACTCAACCATAAAACACACAGTATTAACATTAATTGCTATGCTTAGCATTTTAATCCCAAACTTAGGATTCTTAACCTACTCAATTTTACAAGAATTATCATATTTTTCTTATATTTTACGCAGCACCTTTCCGGTACGCGCTTTTCATAGCCAGTATCAGTTTCTGGCACCAGTTCTCATTATTTTAACTTGAAACTCGTTTTACAAGTCCTATATATTATTCTAGGAATTATCATGCACTTATTATAATTTTCCGAGATACTTTTTCGGTACGCATTTATACCGACTAGCAGAATCGGTATCTGCACTTTTCTTCCGAAAAGCGACTTTCAGCATTCTGAACCACTTTTTATAATTATTTAAGCCTCATAATAATTATTAGGGTCAATTATAGAATTATTTCCTAATTCTCATATATAATTAATTAATTTCCTTAATTAACAGTGCGAGTTCTTACAACTAGCATAACAAGTTTCAGGTCAAAATAATGTGAACTTGTGCCAGAACTGATACTGGCTATGTAAAAGCGCGTACCGAAAAGGTGCTGCGAAAAATAAAATAAAAATATGACAAATCTTAGAAAAATGAGTAGGTTCAGAATTCTAAGTTTTGGATTAAAATGCTAAGCGTAGCTATTAGTGTTAATATTGTGTGCTTAAGACTTAAAACGCTATAAATACAACTTTAGGCACATAACCCTAGGCCATACTCAGAATTGCTACGTGAAGTTTCTGAAGTGTGAAGCCTCCACCTTGTCACCTTCCTTTATTTGATTTCTTCACCTTTAAACAAGTAAACACTTGGGTGTGAGCCTTAGTAAATGTGAAAGGTATCATCTTCTGAGTTGAGGGTGTTGTGGGTGAGTTGGGAAGGGGTTGTGTTTCTGGGTTGTGAGGGTGAAGCCATTGTCATGGCATTTTGAGCTCCATGGAGTGATCTTTGGTGAGAAAAAACCAAACTTGGACCACCATTTTCGTAACTTTGTAAGTCAGCACCTTTGGAGCTAAAGAGAGAGCTCCAAGAGCACCTTCTTGCTCTGGTTTAAGCTTGGATAAGTTGTTCAACCTTTGATCATGAGTTTAATGGTTAAAAATGAAGCCTTGATGCATGTAATGAACTAAAGTTGATAACTTAAGGTTGGGTAAGGTTAAACACACCTAGAAATGCATGTTTAGGCTTCTGGAATCGTGAAAAAAGCAACCTTTGGGAAGGATAACTCGCGAAATGCAGAACTGCGTTCTGTCACGAAATATCCGGTTATGATACCGGATATTGATATCCGGATATGATATTTGTAAGAACCCGCACCGTTAATTAAGAAAGTTAATTAATTAAATATGAAAATTAGGAAATAATTCCATAATTGACCCGAATAATTATGTTATGGCTTACATAAATAGGATAAGTGAATAATAACGTGGAAAGTCGCTTTTCAGACGAAAAGTGCAGATACCGATTTTGCTACTCGGTATAAATGTGTACCGATGAAGTATCTCGGAAAATTATGAAAAGTGTGTATATGTCACTAGAATAATATATAGGACTTGTAAATCAAGTTTCAAGTTAAAATAATGAGAACTGGTGCCAGAACTGATACTGGCTATGGAAAAGCGCGTACCAGAAAGGTGATGCGAAAAATAAAATAAAAATATGATAAATCTTAGAAAAATGAGTAGGTTCAGAATCCTAAGTTTGGGATTAAAATGCTAAGCTTAGCAATTAGCGCTAATACAATGCGTTTAAGATTTAAGTGACTATATATAGGATTGGCACATGATCCTAGGGCATTTGTTGATGTTCCTACGTGAGAAATTCTGAAGGGTGGAGTCAGCCACCTTGCCACCACCTCTTGTGAACCAAGTTGTCACCTTTCTTCTTGCTTTCTTCACCAAATCTCCTAGTGTGAGTGTGCTTTGGCCTTGGGTGAGTGTAAGGTGCTTCCTTTTCTGAGTTTGGTTCTGTTTTGTGAGGCTCTTGAGGCTGAGTTTGGAGTTTGGGTTGGGAGCTACCTTGTTTTGGTGTGTTGAGCTTCAAGGTGTGATCTTGAAGAGAAAGGACACATCTTTGTGTTCCATTTTCGTTCCCCTTGCAAGTTAGACTTAAGGAGCTGTTGTGAGAGCTCCAAGAGCACTTCTCTTTCTGTTTTGAAGCTTGGGTAAGCTCCATTACCTTTGATCATGAGTTCTATATGTTAAAAGTGGAGTCTTGGCATGTTTAATGAGTTAAACAAGTAACCAACCAGTATATGAACCTTAAAGAGTGTAAAAATGCATGCTTTAACGTTTTAAAGTGTTAAAAATGAAACCTTGGATGTGATATCTCGCGAAATGCAGAAACTGCATTCTGTAGTGAAATATCCGGATATTGATATCCGAATATGGGCTTTGTGATATCCGGATATGGCCCCGACATATATCCGGATATTCTGGGTTTTCGAAGAACAGTAGCTGCACTGTTCATACAGAACCGTGTTTGGGGTTAGTGGACCCTAGATTGGTTAAGTTGAACTTCTGTTATGATTAATCTAAGTCAGAATCAAGTGATTAAGGGCTTGTGGCTTTGTGAGAACCTTAAAGACATGAAACGTATGGAAAGGCGTTGTCTTTATGTCGTTTGCTTGTAGAGTTTGAATATTAATGTTATTCTGGTCCAAAACAGATTGTGATTCTGCTGTATTTGGGCTTTGAGCTTGGTTGGACTCTTGGCTTGGATTGTTAGCTTGCAAGGTAAGCTTTCGTGTCCTCGGTTTAGCAATTGTGTGGTTCCACCGTACCCCATGGGGGGAAGGTTTATATGCATGATGTGTTTACATGCTTTGATAATTGAAAATGTTGTTGAGCTTTATGTGCAATTGCTTATAATATGTATGTGTTGTTCCACTTAGACAGTTAGCCTGAGTATGTGGCGTCATACAAGACGGTGACACTGTGGGTGGGTGCAAGTGGCGTCTTGCACTAGTGTGGGTAATAGATGTATTCCTGCATTTCTCTGGTCAGTAGATTAGTTATAACACACATGACATGATTATCTGCTGCATTGCACTATTTTGGAACTTATACTGTTGAACTGTTTTTGGAACTTATATTGCACATGTAAGTGAGCTTGGGGTGGAAGATCCTTGAGGACCCCTTGTCTTACTGAGATTTCTATTTAGAGATCACACCCCACGTTTGGGGCGCTTATTTCAGGTTCAGGTAATCCAGGGGTTGAGACCTCTAGCGGCAGGAGGCCGGAGCTTAGTTGATTGATGTTTATCTGCTTATGCTGACTGTGCTTGGATGCTGGTTTATGTTTCTTGATATCATGCTTATAGCTTCATTTGATGTTATTGTTGAGACTCTGTTGGCTATGTCGTCTATTTGGTGAGCATGGGGATTGTCCATGCCACGTTGACTTGACTTATGTTTTTAGCTTTGAGTTGTATTAATGTATCAGGATATTGTCCGGACTACGTGTGGTAGATCCGTGACTTAGATACTCATTTATTTATCTATCGAGGTATTTCAGTTAGCTGTCTTTTGCAATTTACATACAAGCATGTTTTTATGAAATTGATTAAGTAATCAACATGGCTATGTTTAATGACGTCATAATTGAAAAGAAAAATATATTCCGCATTTTAATTAAGCGTGGCTTTGTGAGAAGCCTTAAGACATGAAACGTAAAAGAGAAGTGTTGTCTTTATGTTATATGCTTATGAGCTATGGTTGTTGATATGATTGCTGGTCCAAAACAGATTGTGATTCTGCTGTGTTTGGGCTTTGAGCTTGTGTGGAGTATTACACTTGGCCTGTGCTATAGAATTTCTTACTCTGGAGGGCATTTCTGGTATGTACAGTTGAAGTTTGTATTGTATTGGAGAGGGTAAATTGCAATGTTAATTGATTCATCAAGTAGGAATTCAAGGATTCCTATGATACACTTGATGCCTTCAATGAATTTAAAGATAATTCTTTTTTTTTGTTACTTTTTACTATTGTCAGGATCTTTAATTTGCACATATATTTAACGCTTTTCTGGTTATTGTGGTTGTAAAATTATCATTTGCTTTTGATTGATCACAAATGTGATGCAAACAAAGGAGTGAATATGAAATATAAAACAAATTAATAAAGGTTCCAAATCGTTTGTAAATTGCCATATGTCATCTTGATGAGATTATTTAATCATATAATTGATGTTGTGCAAGTGTATTTAATATGTTAAGCATAAATTTATTTCTGAGCCTTCACTAAGAGTTTAAACTTTTAGAAATGATAAAATTGTTTCTTCTTTTATATATATTTTTCAATACATATGTGTGTAAAGATAAATATTGCTATAGCATGGTAGAAAGTGAGGTAAACTTGATCCTTTTGATCAGCATGTCTCTTGACTTGAATATGTCCTGGAAAAAACTATACAACGATTGTTAAACTAATTGGGTGCGCAGCAACACCTAAAATAAACCTCTGCAGGATGAAGGACAATATTTGGTACAAGAACAGATTTCAAACACATCAAAGGCGAAAACTAGAAAAACGAGTAACAATATAAATTAGCTTGAGAGAAAGAACTCGGGTTCAACTAGAGAAGAGCGTCACCGATTTGATGCAGTTCTTTGGTCAGCAAATTCCATAAACTCTATAGTCTGTACAGGTTGACAGCATCATGATTCTCAAATACTATGACGAGTCTCTATCACTTGAATTCGTTGACAACATTAGCTGAAAGTCTGAAACCAACAACAAAAAAATTGCAATTTTTTTTTTTTTTCTTTAGGATATATCCTGTTCATGGATTACCCGACCAGTGTCGTTCGGACCTTTTATAGGAGGCGACTCTCCAACACCATTTTCTTCCTTTACATGGCTCCAACAGATTTATTCGAAATTGCTATGGCTTGCACTTTGACCGGATATGCTTAGAAGGTGCTCAAGATATTCAATTCCCAAATCCTCTAGCACCATCACATTTGGTTTTGGTTCCTCTGATTCCTGTTTCTCTTTACACTTTCCAGCTTTTGATGACGATTTTCTCTGCATGCAATTCCACTCCTTGAGTGCAAGTGCAGGAGAACACCCTTGCAAGCAACCATATTCAATTTCTTGCAAAGATTTTTTGACTTTTTTGACCGGAAAATTGAGTAGAGCATTATGGCCTCTCATGGAAAATGCAGCTTGGTCATAAGCTAAAGCAGCAGACTCAGCACTATCAAAGGTTCCAAGCCAAACCCTTGTGCCATTCCTCGTTGTATCTCTAATCTCTGCTGCAAATTTTCCCCATGGCCTTTTCCTTACACCTATATACGACATTTTCTCAGTGTGCTCTTGTTTACCTTCAGACTTAACCACCAATTGCTTTCGCTCGTTGTGGTTTCCTTTGATTGGTGACTGTGAATCCATGGAGAAGTCAACCATATCGAAGGAAAGAGAATCATAGATAGAGTCACGAACACCATTGCTTGAACATGATTCGAACAAAATGTCAGAAGGCTCCTGCAAAATCTCACAATCTTGGTTCTGAAAGAAAGGGGAAGACATTTTTGGGCATATGCTTTCTGTGGCCTCTTCATCTTCCACTCTTTGCCTTAATTTATTGGCCTCAAACGCTGACATAGGTTCTTATTTAAATATGAATTTGGGTTGTTCTAAGGTGGATCTTATTCGAAGCCTTCTCTATAATTTGGGTTGTGTTGAATAGAATAAATCGCTGACTTGAAGTTTCATATTTGATAGTTGAGTAATGTTATATTGACAAATTTTTTATTTTTTTTTTATAAACTTACAAATTATATCATGTTTGACTGGTAATACTTTACTCAAGAATATCTTATTGATTAGACACAGTATAGTTTGTAGGAGTTTATAAACAAAAAATATGTAAATATAATCTTCCCTTAATACTTATAAAAATTAGTGGTATGTACGAAGTATATAAATTTTGTTTTATTCAAAGAATTTTGTTTTCAGAAACTGTCTTATTGAAGAAAAATACATACCATGTGAAATATTTGTGTCTGTCTATCTCTTTTTTTTTTTTTTTTTGTCTCTCTATCTCTCTAACTCTTCATTAATGTATACAGTTATATCAAACCACCATATTGTCTAACTAAACGGTTGGACATACAGTTGCTTTGATTGATATCCACAAATATTAAGCAACAAAATTTCATTAAGACAATTCATTACTTAAATTCGTTATGGTTATACAGTTATAACTATAATGATGTTAAGAAAAACTTTGAAACCTAAGAGATTAAGAGATATACTTGTAACATTATCTAAAGCAGTGTTATTAGCAATCCCATCATATCCAATGCAGGTGTGTTCATTACCGCAAGTCACCTGTGAAGAGATTGATAGGAAGATTCGAAATTTTGTTTGGGGTTCATCTCCACACTCTAGACGTTCTCATCTTGTGGCCTGGAAGCAGATTTGCATGGATAAAAACAATGGAGGCCTTGGACTGCGGAGTATGAGGGAAATGAACTCAGCATTTATCATGAAGGTTGGGTTCAACCTCGTAGCTCATCCAGATGCCTTGTGGTCAAAGTTCTTACGTGCTAAGTACAATGTGGAGGCAGGCATGACACCAATTATTCATGCTCCAAACAACAGCTCCCAGCTTTGGAAGGGAATTACGCGTCATTGGAATATTATAATGGATCATAGTCGGGTGCAGTTAGGCAATGGTCAGTCCACTATGTTCTGGCTTGATAGCTGGCTGCCCGATTGTGGTCCTTTGATCTCATATGCAGGTTCTCAGTTTTCTATTAGTGATACTCTTCAGAAGGTGGTGGACTACGTGGATGAATTGGGGCAATGGAAATGGAATTCTCTTCGACAATTGCTTCCAGATTCTGTGCTGCATCGATTTATGAATTTTCTTCCTCCTTCTAGTCAAGATGGCCAGGATCATTTAATTTGGAATGGAACGACAGATGGCAAGTTTACTGTTAAGTCAGCATATGCAATATTAGCCATCAAAGATACTACAATCCAACAGTTTCCTTGGGAAAGTGTTTGGAGATGGCAGGGGCCAGAAAGAATTCGCTTTTTTCATTGGTTAATGGCAGGGGAGAAGCTGATGACTAATGTTTGTAGACTCCGCCGCCATATGGCTCTTTCAGATCTGTGTCCTAGATGTAATCAGTCTAGTGAAACTATCCTTCATACTATTCGCGACTGTCCACAATCAAAGGAAGTATGGTGCATGATAATGCCTCATATAAATCAGCGTGAATTTTTCAACCTCAACCTGCACAATTGGATCATTTCTAATTTAGACAGCTCAAAGGATTGGGGGATGGGGTCGGACTGGCCTCTTTTATTTGGAATCTTAGCCTGGAAAATTTGGAAATGTAGGAATTCTTGGGTTTTTGAAGGTGATCGCCAGAATGCTTATTCACTTATCCGTTCAGCAATTGGTTTCAGAGATAGTGTCGCTCTTGCAGCTAACCCTGTTTTTGGAGCGGGCAATCAACCAAGGAATCGAATAGAGAGATTGGTTGCTTGGTGTTGTCCTCCTGTGGATTGGGTTAAGCTTAATGTTGATGGTGCATGTGATGCTAATGGTACTAGGACTGGGTGTGGAGGAGTTTTTCGCGATGCCTCAGGAACTTGGATCGTCAGATTCTGTAAAAATTTAGGCTCAGGTACAGTTTTGCATGCTGAGTTATGGGCTTGCTTGGTTGGTTTGGAGCTAGCTTGGGATAGAGGTTTTAGGCAAGTTTGGCTCGAAGGAGATTCTCTTTCAGCTCAACAGCTCATTACAAATGGGTGCCACCATGATTACCCTGCGGCTAATTTGGTGAATCGTATTCGAAATTTGATGCAGCGAGATTGGCAGATTTATATGTCTCACATTCACCGTGAAGGAAATAGAGTAGCGGACTTTCTAGCCTCTTACTCTTATGGTTTCTCTTGGGTAATCCAGGAATTTGATTGTCCACCGTCAGGTTATATTGATAGTCTGTATGGTGACACTATATTAGTCACAATGATAAAAGTGATGTTTTTCCAATTTGACACCACCTCGCACCAAAGTTCTTTTAAGAGTCGTTATGCAAAAATTGATTATCAAAAAGTCTAGATCAATGATGCCACATGCTTTTTCAAAGATCAAGAGTCGTTGATCTTTTTCAATATATATATATATATATATATATATATATATATATATATATATATATATATATATATGAGGTAGGATTCGACTTTTTGAGATGAGTCGTTAGATCAAATTTCAAATTAGCAATAGGTGTCAAATTTCATAACACCGGGTGTTAAACGGTTAACTCCCTCTATATATATATATATATATATATATATATATATATATATATATATAATTATTATGTAACCTAAACTGCCAAACTTAAATTTTTGGTTTAATAAATTGATACCTACATGGTATCAAGCCTCGGTGTCCCAGGTGACGTGTGTTATAAGTATATAAAATCGTAAGATATAACTTTCGACTTAACAACTGTAAGTTTTTGGGTTGAATTCATTCTTTATAGGTACATCCTCTAAAATTAAAAATACCACTTTATTTATTAAAATTATATATTAATTAATAAAAATTATAAACTGATTAATAAGGGTTACATATTGAAAATTATTCAATAACTT